GCAGAGATACAGACTGGACTAGCTGATGCTAGGGTTCTGCACAGTGTTTAGCCTGTAATGTTCTCAAAATTCACTTATTAGAAACTACTGTCACATACTACCAGTCAGCCTATTTGGTGAAATAGTTCAGGAGTGGAGGAGAGTGAAATCTGCAACTGACATGGTTGTGGTGTCTGAAGTCCCTAATTTATGATAAATGGTAGGAGAAAGAGCAACCTTTTTTTTTCTTTTTTTCTTTTTTTTTTTTTTTTTCCCTGGTGAACCAGAAGAAAAGTATAGTAGTGCAGGAAAAACTGACTGTACTGATTAAAATTTGGTTTCTTAATTTAATTTGGTAAGCATAAGCAGAACTAAGCATTATCAGGACTAGTTGTTTTAGTTCCTTTTTTGTTGTTGTTTTTGTGGAATTTTGGAAGTTGACTGTGGATGTTTTTTCTTTCCCTTTTCATAGAGGTCTTGATTCCTGACTCATGTAGTAGCTTGCTGCTTCTTTTTTCTTAGCAAGTTCTTTCTCTAAAGCAGAGGCAATGTATTACATTTTCCCAAATGCTCTTCAGATGACATAAATAAGTTTGTTTTCAGCTGCTTTAAAACTGGTGAAAAATAGTTTGTCACAGAAGGACCTATTGACTTAAACATAAAAAAAAACTCCAGCAAAATCTTTTTTGGATGTTGGTTAATTATACTTGGTGCAGTGTTCTTATTTGACTGTTAATATGGCTCAGAATGGATGACTTGAGTTATATTTATGCCTTCATATCATTTGGAACCAGCTTTTCATTACTCCTTGGCTTTCAGTGCCTTATTAATGAAGATCATACTTCACAAAACCATAGAATGAAGTTTTGTATACTTGAGTATTGGAATAATTAGTGCATGTCACCTGAAACAAAATGTTTTACAGACTTCTCTCAGATCCTTCACAAGAAGAAAAATACAAGAACGGTTTCTTTCCTTTGTAAACTTTTCTATATCCATAACAGACCAAAACATACATTTGTATAAGTTTGTGCGCTATGGAAGATTTTTCTGAAGTCACTATACAGTACTTGAATCAGGCACCAGAACTATTGCTGAGATGAGACTGAATAATTTTGCCAAGCTGATGAAAGAAATTTAAATGCATTTGAGTGTCAATAGTGTGAAGCTAGAAGTATTTCAGTATAATGTTTTTACCTTTTTAGAATTGTGCAGCTCTGCTGCAGTAATAGATAACCTGAGCCAAGTTAGCTTTTATGACACTGGTTAAGGAAGGGCAGATGTATTTTGAGTTTGTGCTGCTAGGGAATGGTGACTTAAAACATTCATTGATAAATTTTGGGGTTACTGTTTTTGCCAAAAAAGTTTCTGAAAGTGGTGGAAATGTCTTTACATTTGTGTTGTTTATCTGAATAAGCTTACTTTTTATAGTTGTATTAATGCTGGGAACACAACAGCTATTTTATTGGTACTAATGAACAGCAGTTAATCCGTTGTGTGGTGTATATACACATAACAGAAGGCTTGCTAGCAGACAAAGGAGTTCTTCATGTCTGTCAGTATTATCAAAGCAGTTTCTTGTAAATGCTTATATGGGTGCATCCTGCTGACTTTCATTCTATTCAAGTGTCGATCCCCTCCCCCTCCCACCCAGAGAGGGAAGGAGAGAGAGAATGAGAGACTTTCTGGGTTGAGAACTAAACAGAACAGCTTTAATTAAACACGATAAAAGAATATATGTATAATTATATACAAATGTGTTCAGATATGTGCAAAAGCCTCTTGGCTCTCCTCACCCCTAGCAACTCCCACAGCATCTCCTTAGTTGGAACAGTCCCGAAAAATTTTGAAGCTGCTGCTGGAGAGAGCACAGAGTGTTGAGGATCAGGAGAGCTCGAGCCTGGGGGTCGATGGTGATGGATGGACGGAGTCCTCCCCAGGCACCAGCCATGGATGGAAGAGAAGGGAAGAAGCAGCAGGAAGGAAGTTGTCTTCTGTGATCTCTGACCTTCTTCTGAGCTTATGTAGTTATATGGAATGGAATATCTCTGGCCAGATTTGCTGTCTGTCTAATTCAGCCTCCTACGGGGGGGTCATAGATCTTCTGGTAGTGCCTGGGCTGGCAGAGCAAAGATGTGACCTTGGAGTCTCATCAGTAACATAAACATTCCACTGTTATCAGTCCAAGCTGGAGTACTTACTGCTAGTTAAAAGAGAGCTTACTGAAGGAAAAAAAAAAAAAAATCAGTAAAAGGGAAATTGGCTTAATCCTGGCTCAAACCAGGACAATTCCGAAGTAGTCCTATGTTTCTGAAGGGCAGAAGTACCTTTCTAAAGTAAATTGTTGATGATCAGTGTTACCTCTTTCCTTTAGTGGCTCCTTAGTCTTTGTAAAGGCAGCTTTTGTCTGCTGTCAAGCTGAAAGGATGTATCAAATACATTTCTAAAGAAGTCTCTTCAGTATTTTTATTAATAACAATAATGAAATAGAGTGTGTGCTTATTAAATTAGTAGATGGTATGAATCTGAATAAAGGTTGCAGGTGCATTGGGGGACAGAGAACACATAAATGTCTCAGACTGCTGGGAATAGCTTATGTAATGGATTGGAATATCAGGAAAAAAGGTTTAGGTCAAACCTGGTAGAAGGAACCTTTCTAGTGATGGTTGTGATTCTAGATATTGCAGAATAGCATAGTAGTCTCAGTTGTTCGTCTAACTTAAGTTGGAAAGCAAGCAAGGAATGAACTGGTGTTAGGCAGTGAGGCTGATAACCAAGGGCTTGAGCATAGTAAATCCTGCCTGTGGCAGTGGAGCAGTCTTGCTGACATCCCATTCTCACTTTTTCTGATCTGTTTTCAATTTACCAAAAATATCGTCTTGAGAATTAAGAGTATCCTAGATCTACTGAATATTTGCCAGGTCATCAAAACAGAGCTCATGCTTATAGTGAAAATATGTTAAAATACATTCAAGGACAAACTTGTTGGCAACATCAGAATGTGGGCATCTGTAAGAGTTTTTATGACGCCCAGTAAAACCTGGAATTGCCAGCTTAAAGCTGGCTAGGCTAAGATACAGTTTTAAGGAAAGATAGTGCAGAAGGTAAAAAAGTAGGGATGTTAGTGAGTTAGGAGTAAACTTGTTTCATGGTAGTTGGATAAATAGTAGTGTTAGGAAGGTTGACTAGATTTTTAAACAGTAAGATGAGTTTATTGAGAAATCACATTTTTAGGGCCTTTGTTGTCCCATGCCTGATAGCTAATTCACCAATAACTTGGTAATATGTCTTATTTTATTTTTCAGTCTGTAAGTGCCTTAGTCTGAAGGTTTTTGTTGTGCTTATTTTCCAGTATTGATACTTGTCTTTCTAAACATTACATGATTCTACTGCTTGGAGATGAGAACTGTATCTGAGGAAAGGAGGAAAAAATATTCTTGCTTCAGTCTGCTCACATTTAATTTTCTGTTTCTTAATTTAGCTTCTCTTGTATGGTACATCTGTAAATATATACCCTTTTCAATTTCTATACTGTTGCTGAACATGATTGATCAGTAAAAGTGAACTTGGTTCCTGGTAGAGAGAGAAGACATTTTTTGGTGGTTCTGTGACTCCAGAACATTCTTCAATTATTTTTTGCTAGTCTGATGTAATTAATAAAATTTCTCTGGAATTTTCCTTGAGGTTAATTTAGAAGAGAGTGTTGGATGCCTTCAACAAGTTATTTGGGTGAGACATGGCTTTAAGCTGGTCTCTAATGAAAACAGATTCTGTGCATCTTGCCTTATGGTTCAGCTCTGGTATTGGAGATACCAAAAACCTAAGTATGAGCTCATGGCTTAAAAAAGACCTTGTAGCTCAACTAGGTGCACTTTAACACTTACAGATCTGTTAAATTTAGAAACTAGAACATTCTCATCTGCTACTGGAAATCTGCAATAGCCTGGTTCAGGTCAGAATACAAAAATAATCGTCAGTTACCCAGTTCAGATTCCATAGGTCTTAAAAAATACTTATTCATGTTAAAGCAGCCTCAGATTAAAGTATGTGCTTACTGACTAACACATCAATTGGAATACATGGTTATTTGAATCTCCCTATGAAATGCATGGGGGTGTTTGTAATGTTTTCATTAGCTGAATTTCTAATAGAGTGTATATCATATTTAAAAGTATTTTTGAGTCATTGACATTTTTGCAGTGTCTAGCTGCAGAGCATGATTCAGACACCCTTGAAATTCAGCCAATATTTCATCAATTTCTTTCCTTTCTGTGCTGTAATTCAGCTTCAGGTAACACAGTTCGTGTTATCTTGCATTCTCTTGCTTATTTAGAGGTGTTTTCCTGCCTGTGGGAAGAGTGTGGGATAGAAAAAGTATTTTTGGTTTTTAATCTTAAGCATTACTTTCACTTGCCCACTTCCAGACCAGAGAATTGTTGCTGGATTTTTACACTGTTTCTGGACATCCAGACTCTCTTTCTGTGGACTCTGGAGATAATAGGGGGTGGTCTTGAATATCTGTTTTTTTTCACAAGGAACTTTAATGTGGTCTTTGAGGCTAATGTTTTGGGACTAATTAAAAAATTATCTTCTAGGAAGCTAATGAAATAGCTCCTGTAATCCATTCTAGATAGTACCAGAAAGTATTTCAACAAGCTAATTTTGCCATAGCTTTCTGGATAAGACCTTATGCAAGATGCTTCATCCCATTTATAGGAGGAAATAAGGAAGGAATGTTACAGTTGTATTTTTATGATACTTGAGATCTGTTTGTGCTTTTATTACCAAAGTGTCACATTAATTGAACACGATGCTATGAATGAGTGTAGTTAGATTCTAAACCAGATCTCTGTGAGAAAATAAAACTGGAAACCAGAAAGGAAATACTGGTCCAGACACCCCAAGTGTAATACTCTTGTAACATAAGCATCTGAAAAGTACACATTTCTTGTTTTTCCAATTACAGGGACTTGCCATGAGGTGCTGAAGCCTTGTTTCATTGATTGAGAGACTGGACCTAAATGGCGCACCATGACTTTGCTCCAGCCTGGCTTAATTTTCCTACTCTTCCATCATCAACAAAAGTATGTTCTTTGTTGTTCTTTTGAACAGGCACTTGCATATTAGAGAATTCTAATGATAATAACCTCAATCATAATAAAAATGCAAATTTTTATGAATAGGGTGATAGCAGGTGATATCTAGCAAGTAGCAGTGTCATGAAACAGTTGTTGGAAACAGGAAATAGCAATCTCAAAATTATTAGGATTTGTAAATATTCTAGGAAGTCACAAGAATGTCTGACTCACATGTTTCATTTTTCTGGCTTATTTTTCTACACTTTCTTAAGTAGTGCAAATGCAGAAGCAGAGGTGGCACTGGGTATTCCAGTTCCTGCCTTCCTGTTCGCTATTTGTAGACCTGTCTTTTTCATTAGTCTTTTGAATGCACTATACATGTTTGCAGATGAGAGTGGTATTGTCTTTCTGTAGTGTGTTGATCTTAGTTTCTTTTGTCCATGGAAAAATGTTTTTCTATATAAATTAAGGAAATAGACTGATGTTGTTGTTAAATGCAGTTAGCTGTCACTATTAGTTGTGTTCCCATTACTTTTCTCATATATATCTACACATGTACATGCATGCTTTTTTAAAATCAGGTCATTGAATGTCCTTATGTTGCTCTATTTATCTTCTACACTGAGATAGCTAGCTTCTTTGTTTAATATAATCTATCAGCAATGCTCACTTGCTGTCCTGGGAACATTAGGCCAGTCTGCTCCGGGATAGTTCCTGTGACCTGTTTGTTTTAATTCAACTCTTTTTATCTGCTTTTTCAAGTTTAATAAAATTTTAATTGGAAAAGTAATCAGAGCTTAGTTTAGTATGGTGTTATAACTGCAAAACAATCTTCATGTACTTCAAGAATCTGCTGAAAGAGCTTTACCTACATGTTGAAAGAGACAATACAGCACAGTAAAAGTAAACTCCAGAACTGCTCCAGTAGCAGTCAAATATACTTGAGGTATAGGTTGTATTTGTGACCTCTTTCCTGAATTGGGAGAAGTTCAATGGCAAGCCTATATTGGCCTGTTTTCGGCTGGGATAGAGTTGTTTTTCTTTTTAGTAGCTGGAATAGCGTGTTTTGGATTTAGTGTAAGATTTGATATGAGAAGAATGTTGATAATGGACTGATGGTTTTAGTTGTTGAAAAGAAATCAAGGGCTTTTCAATTTCCTATGCTTTGCTGAAGTACAGGTGCACAAGAAACTGGGTGAGAGCATAGTTGGAGCAACGGATCCAAACTGGCAAATGGGATATTCCATATAATGCAACATCCCTGCTCAGAAGGGGGTAGGGGATAAAACCCTGGGACTTGAGCCTGGTGTCAACAGGAATTACCAAGCCTCATCCAGAGTTCTTTAAATCAGATTTGAAGGGGGATGGGGTTATGACTGTGCTCGCTAGAGAGGTACCTGTGTGTTGTGGGTCAGCACTCATGGGGTGGCATGCTACTGTTTTTCCCTCTTTGCAATGCTTACACATTAATGCTGCAGCATCGGAAGTACAGGAAGAACTAAAGATCTGTGTGTGACTGCACGGCTATGATCTCATTGCAGTCACTGACATGGTGGGGCAGCTCAGATGATTGGAGTGCTGTCACAGATGGCTTTGTACTGTTCAGGAAAGATAGGTCATCAAAGTGAGGTGGCGGAGTGGTTCTCTGTGCAAGAGCACCTGAAGTGTACCGAACTCTGGCCAGGGGAGAAGAAAGAATGTGGTGAGAGTTTATGGGTGAGAATTAAGGGGCTGGCCAACATGAATGACACTGTTGTGGATATCTACTGTAGGCCATTTGATCAGGATGAAGAAGTTGATGGGGCCTTTTACAGGCAGCTGAAAATAGCCTCATGATCACGGGCCTTGGTTCTCATGGGAGGTTTCAATCACCCAGATATTTGCTAGAAAGGCAACACAGCCAGGCATGCACAGTCCAGAAGATTCCTACAGAGCATTGATGACAACTTTCTGATGCAGGTGGTTGAGGAATCTATGAGGGGCAGTGCGCTGCTAGATCTTATAAACTTACCTACAAGGAGGGTCTTGTTGGGGATGTGAAGGTGTCACTGTTTGACTTAGGTTCAACAGCAATGCTCTTGATCCCCTCCCCACCCAGGTAGGGAAGGAGAGACAGAAAAAGCAAGAGACTTGGCTGGATTGAAAACTAAACTACACAGCTTTAATTAAACACTAGTGAGAAAAGAAAACATATACAATTATATACAAATATGTTCAGGTATGTTCAAAAGCCTGTCTCCTCCTCCCACCCCCAGCAACTTCCACAACATCTCCTGAGCTGCGAACAGTCCCTAAAAATTTTGGAGCTGCTGCTGGAGAGAGCACAGAGTGATGAGGGTCAGGAGAGCTTGAGCCTCAGGGTTGATAGTGATGGATGGATGGAGTCCTCCCTGGACGCCGGCCATGGACGGGAGAGAAGGGAAGAAGAAACAGGAAGGAAGTTGTCTTCTGGGATCTGTCCCAGAAGCTTCCTCTGAGCTTACGTAGATATATGGAATGGAATATCTCTGGCCAATTTTGCTGTCTAACTCAGCCTCCTATGGGGGGCTCATAGATCTCCCTGTAGTGTCTGAGCTGGCAGAGTGAAGGTGTGACCTTGAAGACCCAGAAACATTCCACTCATATCACCCTTAGTTAGAACACACTGTGACTAGTTAAAAGAAAGCTTGCTGAAGAAAAAAAATCAGTAAAAAGATAATTGGCTTCATCCTGGCTTAGACCAGGACAGAAGGTTGAAAGCAAACTTGGCTGTAGTGACCACAAAGTGACCACAAAATGGTAGAATTTACTATTTTGCGTGGAAGTAGGAGAGAACTGAGCAAGACTACAACCCTGGACTTCAGGAATGCATTTTACCTCTTGAAAGATCTACTTGCTGGAATACCATGGGTTAAGGCTCTGGAAGGTATGGATGTCCATGAAAGCTGAGCAGCTTTCAAACATCACTTGCTCCAAGCTCAAAACTTGTGCATCTCAATGAGAAAGAAATGAAATAGAGGAGGTATAAGACTTTCATGGATGAGTAGGGGTGTCTTCTGGATAAAATTAAAGGAAAGAAGGAAATAGACAGAATGTGGAAAACAGGTCTGGCCACTTGGGAGGAATACAGGAATGTTGTAAGAGAATGGAGGGATGCAATGAGGAAAGCTAAGGCCCACCTGGAACTAAAGCTGGCGAGGAGCATCAAGGACAAGAAGAAAAGTTTCTTCCAGTACATCAATAAAAAAAGGAAGAATAGGGAAATGTAGGCGTGTTGACGAATGAGGTGGGTGCCCTCTGTGACTGATGACACAGGGAAGGTGGAGTTACTGAATGCCTTCATTGCTTCAGTCCTCACTGCAAAAGCCAACCCTCTTAAATCCCAGACCCTGGAGATAAGAGATAAAGCCTGGAAAAAGGAGGACTTTCCCTCGGTAGAGGAGGACCAGGTTAGAGGCCACTTAGCCAAACTGGACACCCATATATATCCATGGGCCCTGATGGGATGCATCCATGAGTTCTGAGAGAGCTGGCAGATGTTATTGCTAGACTACTCTCCATCATCTTGGAGAAGTCATGGAGAGCAGGAGAGGAGCCTGAAGACTGGAGGAGGCCTAATGTCACTCCACTCTTCAAGAAGAGCAAGAAGGAGAACTCAGGGAACTACAGGCCACTTAGTCTCACTTCTATCCCTGGGAAGGTGTTAGAAAAAATCATTCTGGACATCATCACAAAACATGTGAAAGCAAAGAATGTCGTTGGGAGAAGTAAGCATGGATTCACCCAAGGGAAATCATGCTTGACCAACCTGATTGCCTTCTATGATGTCATTACTGGCTGGCTAGATGAGGGGAGAGCAGTGGATTCTCTCTACCTTGACTTCAGAAAGGCTTTTGATACTGTCTCTCATAACATCCTCATTAGGAAACTCAGGAAGTGTGGGCTTGATGAGTGGAGAGTGAGGTGGATTGAGAGCTGCCTGTGTGACACATCTTGGAGGGTGGTGATCAATGGATCAGGGTTGAGTTGGAGGCCAGTAACCAGTGGCATCCCCCAGGGATCAATACTTGGTCCAGTCTTGGTCAGTATGTTCATCAATGGTCTGTACAAGCGGACAGAGTGTATCCTCAGCAAGTTTGCTGAGGATACTAAACTGAGAGGGGTGGCTGACACTCCAGAGGCCTGTGCTGCCATCCAGCATGACCTGGACAGGCTGGAGAGTTGGTCAGAGAAGAACCTCACGAGGTTCAATAAAAGCAAGTGTAGGGTCCAGCACCTGTGAAGGAAGAACCCCAAGCACCAATATAGATTAGGGGTGGACCTGCTGAAAAGCGGTTTCAAAGGGGAAAGGTCTGGGAGTCCTGGTGGTTAGTAAATTATCCCTGAGCCAACGATTTGCCCTTGTCACCAAGAAGGCCGATGGAATTCTGGGGTGCATAAAGAAGTGTATGGCTGGTAGATTGAGAGAGGTTATTCTCCCCTCTACTCTGCCCTGGTGAGTCCACATCTGGAATACTGCGTCCATTTCTGGGCTCCAGAGTTCGAGAGAGACAGGGAGCTACTGGAGAGAGTCCAGAGGAGGGTGATAAAGATGATAGGGGGATTGGAGAACCTCTTATGAGGAAAGGCTGAAGGAGCAGAGGCTCTTCAGCCTGGAGATGAGAAGGCTGAGAGGAGACCTTATCAATGTGTAAGGGGTGAGTTCAAGGAAGATGGAGACAGGCTCTTCTCAGTAGTTCCCAGTGTCAGAATGAGGGGCAACAGGTACAAGTTGGAACATAGGAAGTTCCATTTAAATATGAGGAAGAGCAACTTTTTACAGTGAGGGTGATGGAGCACTGGAACAGGCTGCCCAGGGAGGTGGTGAAGTCTGCATCTCTGGAGATACTCAAAACCTGCCTGGATACAGTCCTGTATAAAGTGCTCTAGATTATTCTACTTCAGTGGGAGAGTTGGACTAGATAATCTCTAGACGTCCCTTCCAACTCCAGCAATTCTGTGATTCTGTGATTTCCCATGATCTGGTATAGTAGATGAGAGTTGGCTGGGATGTTGACACTCAGTTCTGGGATTGCGGTTTCAGGATTTCTTTCCTCCAGGATCGCTAGCCATGGATGGGCTGGACGTTGGTCAGTGGGTGGTGATGAGTTGCACTGTCCATCACTTGTGTTTACATTCTATTATTTTTGTTGTTACAATTATTATTTTTTTTAATCTCAACCCATTCTCTTTACCTTTCCTGCTCTCTCCTTCAGTTGCCAGGGAAGCAGGGGTAGAGTGAGTGAGAGGCTGTGTGGTATTTAGCTGCCTCCTGGCTTAAAACCATTGCGCGTACTGTTGTCTTCCACAATTTTTTGCCTCAAGGAGTTTGGATAGACTTTATTTCATGTCTTCCAAAAGCCCCATAGTTGAATTCTTTCTCTATTACAGTCTTCATGCTTTGTGATTTCAAATGCAGCTTATTTCCTATGTTACCTCCTCCCTTAATTATCAGCATTCTGTTATGTACAGCCCAATTGGATATTAAACACTTGAAAAGTCTTTATAGTCCTATCCAATATGTAGTTTACAGAATAAGGCTTGTCCTGACATTTCTGTGCAAGACAGATGTCAAATGTTGTGGGTCCCCCTCCACTCCATTTCCTGGTAAAGACTTTTTTTTCTGCTTCCCATGTATCAGCAAAGCAGATGAAGGGAAGAGCAGATAAGAGGAATGGAGGTGAAGAGGAAGGATGTGGTGAGGAAGGCAAGGTGTCCCATATTACTTGCAGAATGGAGCTGATGTGAGACTGTGGTATTTAGACTTGAGAATATGAAACTGAATTCTGCCTGCTAAGTTTTCATTTCCCTGAAGTGGAACTTTTAGGAACTGAGTCTTAAGGGGCTTGGTTTCCTCCGTTGATCCTGGGTAGCTGAGGCTTTTCCTTATATATGTAAAGGCTGTCATTAGACAAACCTGATGCCAGGAAGCTGAGGTTGTGAATGAGCATCCTTAATGTGACTGGTAGTGATTACAGCTTGACTGAAATCCATCTCACCAATTGCTGATGATGTCATCTTAAGGATGTGCTCTTATATCATCTCCCTGTCAGTTACAGCAGAGTCCTCCAAATAGCTGGGCATTCCTTGCTCAGTAGCTTTTGTTCAGGTCTGAAACTACTGTACCCGTATCAGTGCAGTATAGTAGTTGTGCAGATGGAAATGGAAAAGTGGTGTGAACAGTGAAGCTATCCTGGGATGTCAACAAAACTTTTCTGGAAGGGTTGCTGTAAACTGTGTATGGAGAGACTGCAGACAGAATAGTAAACTCAGTTTTTGCAAGCTGCTTTTGCTTTGTGTTAAGCAATACTTATACTTCAGAAGTGTCTGTTTCTTGCTTTCTTGGCTGGCTGAAGTTAGTTAGATAGTTTCTTAGCTTCCAGAAATTGTCAATAGATCTCCTGTTGATCACGTGTTTACTGTAATCTCTGCCACTAGAGTCTTGATAGACTGATACCTCCATCATGTGGGGAAAATGCAAACTGCACGATCTTTTCACATGATTTAGAGACTTCACATGAAGTACATAATGTACGACTCAAACACTATATAGAAAAGCCGTTGCATGTTTTAAGATTGTGATTGTTTTTCAAAGTGGATACAAAAAGTTTAAATGCCAAAGACAATATTAGAAGGTTGTTGTAGGTAAATGAACATATGAGGCTACCTTCTAAAATTTTATCTATGATCAACAGATCTGGGCTTTTTGAAATTTATAGCAGCAGAATTTGTTGATAAGGATTTTTTACTTAAATACTGAAATTCATTATGACAATTTTTTAACTACTTAGACCTTTTGGTAGTTTCTTGTGGTTTTTGTTTTTTTCTCTCTCTGTCCAAATTTGTCAAGGAAGTAATTAACTTCCCAGGTCTCAAATTGAGAGGGCAGTCCCATTTCATTTTGACTTCTGTGTGGTTTGGAAATCCATGCTTTGTATTTTAAACGTATCTGTTTCTTACTTGAGTTTGAATTTTAAGCAGTGAATTTTGAAAGGCACCTTGTGCTCTGCTGAGGTACTGTCAGTAGAACATGAATAAAATTTTTTTTTGGTGTGATTCTCTGTTGCAGGTGTGGGGGAGGTGAGAAAAAGAAAATTATTTTCTTTAGCGTGTCTTCTGGAGTAGTTAAACATATTACTGTCTTTTTCTTTTTTTTTTTTTACAGTTCACTTTGATCAGTGAAGTACTTAAATATTAACATAGCTTAATTAGACATTAGCAGATAGTGACTGTTGAAGTAAACTTGGGGCTTTAATTTTCAGACATACACCATTACTTCTCTACTTTTTTTCCTGAACATTAATGAGTCTGGAGAGGGAGGGAGATTCAGGCAGAGAAGTTGATAGATTGTGTGCAGTAAAGTTGATAATTCCTGGAATCACTAATCTTAGTTTATTGACACAGTATGTTTCCACACAGCTGTTAATTTATGCATTTTTAGCTTGTATGACCCTGGGATGTGTTGGATCTCTTGTACATGTGTGATTCAGTGGACATATATGCACAGTAAGTGTCCTGGGATAGAAGGGGGCTTTGCTTCATCTGCATCAATGCGTGGCAAGGAGGTGCTGGGTAACACAGCCAGCTGCTGTTGCTGACTGGGAGATGTGTGGTATGAACAACAGTAAGGCCAAGCACTACTTCTGCAGAATTAATTTTTTTTTTCTTGAATTTTTAAGATGTAACAGCAAAACAAATGTTACAGTGTTAAAATAGTTAAGCCACAGGGAAGTGATAGAGCTGAAAGACATGATCTTTTTGCTAAGCTCAAGTATGAGTTCTAGTCAGGATGTATTTTCATTTCTGAGTGCTGTTCTCAATATAAGGTTTTAGTTTATAAAGTACTTCCTACTAGTGAAGATTTATTTACTTACATTTTCTACAGTGCCTACTTGTAAGATGATAATTCAAAGTGTATGTGTAAATCTGTATCCTTTTAACTCTAGGTTTTATCTCTATTTCATAAGTAGCTGTGTTTGTTTTTTTTAAGTTGAAATGACAAGACTGGTAAATTGAGCCTTTGGGTTCAACTGCCCAGGTGGAAGCCACTGATTGCTTTTCTATGGAATGCACATGTGTAGTTTTTGACCGCCCAAATTAAGGTCCCAGACTTCTTTTCTGCCTTCCAAACTGTGATCTCCTGTTCTTTCTCACCGTTTTCATTTTCTTTCTGCTGCAACACATGGCACTTGTGCTCTGTTCTGCTGCCAAAACAGAAGAGACACTTGTGGTTTTTTACCCTGTGTCACAAGCATGATCTTCAGTCCAGTTTCAGTGTCCTGGAGCAGAAGATGTTGCTTCCACTTTCATAGCATGGGAGATAGTGACATAGCTCTGAACATATGCTTACTTGAGGACTACTGCATTGTCTTTCAATCAAAAGTCCTTTTAAAAATGCATATGCCATGAATAATGTGCATGTCTGCATTATCTGTCAATCAATTTTTTTTTCTTAAAAAAGTACCATGAATAATGTGTAAGTTACATTTCTAATAGTTCAATTTTGTTATTAGTAAGATAATCACTTTTGCTTCTTTACAGTCAACACTGAACTTCGAGAAACATTCTGAAAATTTTTCGTGGACAGAGAATTGTTATGAAGCAAATTGCAGAAGACGCAACTCTACAGATGGGTTTGATCCTGGATGGTCTAATGGAGGTATAATTTAGTTTTGTAAAACATTTTGAGTATGTTTACGTCATTACTTTGTGGCACTCTACCTAGGAAAAAAGTCTGATGATAATAGTTCTCCTAATCAAAAGTTTTTATTCTGTAGTAAAATAGAGGTAATAGAAAGACAGATCTTCCAAGAGAGGATGTGATTACTGAGGGCTGGTTAAATACCTGTTACTCCAGGTATATTTCTCTGCTAAAAGAAATAAGAGTGTTGAGTTAATATTCTAGCCAACAACATAGAAATGAGCAGCCAAAAAAAGAGATTGACTTGTCTTAAAGTTGGACTACTATCCTCTTTCTCTGGCATTGTTTTGTAAGATTCTTGCCTGCTGCTTATGTGAACGAAAACTTAAGTTTGTTATGCTGTCATATCCCAGAGCAGTAGAGCTGCTGAATTAACATCTCTAACAATTTTGCAAAAGTTTGTAATTACATTTTTTTAAATTTAAAAATGCAAGGGCATTTTGGGAGAAAAGAGAAGCATGGCTGGCGTTCACAAGGCAGAAATGGTACAGAAAATATAAACCATTGTGGAGGATGCCATGGAGGAGGTTACTGCACTCGTACCAGCGCTTTCCACTGGGGAAAAGACCGAGGACTGCATGAAAACATTGTTCCTGATGATGAAGCTGGGAAAAAGGAAGACAAAGAAATATCCAAACAGTTTAAGGCTGAGGATTTTGTAAGTTTATCATAGTTATAATAAACAAGGTTTCATTGTTTCTTCAAGGGCCGTTTTGTCCATTTGAAGTGACTTCATGAGTTCTCACCAATTTCACATCATCATATACTGGAACACCCTTCCTATAGATAAGAACCTGTTAGTCATTTGTCCAATAACTTGTTTCTCCTTTCATATCCAGTTTTTATGATTTTCTGGTTACTGTTATCATTTGAGTGTTTAAGTGAAACTACAATTGCGTTCCAGCTTACTGTGGTATGTGTATATATAAAATTCTACAGTTACCTTACTGGAAATCTGAAGTACTGTTAAAGTGGTCTTTCTGCCAAAAACGCTTTGAGATCACGTGATTCAAACTAGCATTGCAGGATCTAAGATGAAAAGTGACCTTACTCTTTGAAGAATTATATGTGACTGTTTTTTGCTTTCTCTGGACAGTCCATGTAATGGTGTTGACTGCTTTATTGGGGAAGAGAACAATAGAGCATTAATCTATGTGGTTTAAAGAGCGAAATGTCTACTCTGTTTCAATCTAAAAATCTTCGACAACAGAAGGCATACTGCCAATATTATTGTGATTCCTAATTTTATTGGTCCCAGAATTGAAGACTTATTTTTAAAATAATGATAAAACTTTCTTTCAGCCATCTTTGAACCCTAAATATGAGAAAGAACCAAACCAGAATAAATCTTTCGCTGCAGGTGTGTGGGGTGAGTATGTTTTATGTTTTAAAATGCAAAAAAGTTGTATAGTTCTGAAGTTTGTTTTATTTAAAACACAGGATTTTTTTTTTAGAATTTCAAAGTTACAGATTTAAGTTACAAAGGTATGGATGGAAATTGAGGAAATTAAAATATTATTACAGCATAAGGATCTTCTTTAGAGAATTAACACTTCTATTTGAATATCAACCTGTTGATCTGTAGATTCAGCCACAACTGGGATTCTTTCCCAGAACAAATGTACGTATTTTTTGTAAGGATGTCAAGAATTTATCTTCATCTTTATTTTCAAGAGGAAGTGCAGTCAAGGTAGGTGGCCTAAACTGATGAAGTGATTTCTAGATGAAGACTTGGTAAAATAATTCTTCTGACTGAAGAGGTCTATTGCAAGATTCTGTGTAGGAGGGCTGGGAGGAGCAGGTTAGCTTGCAGAGGTTTAAGGTCTCTCCCTGGAAGCACATGTCTTAAACTTTTTGTTGCATTTACAAACTACTTGTAAGAAATTGCATCCTGACACCGGACCTTGAACTGAACTGTAATCTGGGATTGTTTTCTCATCTTTACCTGATTAAATTTGGCTACTGCTGTCAGCTTTATGTAGGCAGTTGTTCACTCTTAAGAGCTTTAGACTGCCAGGTTTTAAAGTAATAAACCTACTCAAAATAACAGCCTTTCACCTTACAAAGAAATAATTTTTGAAGAGTTGCTAATACTGAGATAATTGTTGCTCATTTAAAATGATACTTTGATTTGCTGATTCTTTTTCTGGTGCTTCCACTGTATGTTTTACACTCTTAGACATTACGTGTAGGTCAGTCCCTCAGTATAAATACCTAATTGCTAAGAAATTTTGCAGAAGCCTAAAAAATTGGACTGCTTTCCTGTTTTGTGTATTACATAGAATCATAGAGTGATTTGGAAGGGACCTTAAAGATCATCTAGTCCCAACCCCTCTGCCATGGGCAGGGATACCTCCCACTAGCCCAGGTTGCTCAAAGCCCCATTCAGCCTGGCCTTGAACACTTGCAGGGAGGGGATGTCCACAACTCTGGGCAGCCTGTGCCAGTGTCGCGCTGCCCTCACAGTGAAGAATTTTTTACTAATGTCTAGCCTAAATCTCCCCTCTTCCAGTTTAAAATTGTTACCTCTTGTCCTATTGCTACATGCCCTTATAAAAAGTCCCTTCCCAGCTTTCTTGGTAGGCCACCTACGTGTACAGGAAAGCCACTACATGGTCCGTGTAAGATCTCCCAGAGCTGCCTTTTCCATCCTGATTAGCAGCTTTCATGTGGAAGTCAGGAAATATAGTTCTCTTTCAATACAAGAGCAATGGTAAATTATTTCCTAAAAAAAATAGGAAAAAATGCTTGGCACTTTGAGTGATTTACAGCTTTTGCAGCTCTGTGGCTCTGCACGATGTGTGCATGATGTGACTCAGCTGCATCTGAAGGGGGACAAGCTTTCCAGGTCACTCTTCATAGGTAAAGGAAGGAACAGTTTTGTTAGCTACATAAAGTAATAGAATAATTTAATTTGGAAGGGACCTTTGAAGATCATCTAGTCCAACCAGTAAGGTACAGTGAGGTGGCTTGTTATGGCTTGTATCTCAGTATCTTACTTTATTGCAGCTCTGCTATTGCAAACTTTGGTTTGTAACGGAAAATTTGAAATTAAGACTATTATTATTATCCTTTAAAGGAATAAATATTGAGGACAGGAGGAAAGTCACCATCCCTTTCTAATGCCTGTTAAAAATGTATGCTTCTGTTAGATTCCATTTTACTTTGTGTATATGTGATGGGAGCATGCGACTATTGTGAAGAATCTTTTAATAAAGTTTAATGAAATTCAAGTGTACAGTTATTGCAAATGATTTGTGACATCTGCCTGCTAAACAAAGCTGGTCACTGATCCTTTTAAGATAAGTTTTTTAAATGTAGGATATGGTGCCACTGAAATATAAATGATTGGAGGGAGAGGAGATAATCTTGGAAAAGGTTGTTAATGCAGCAGTCCAATGCACACACAAAAAAATAATTAAAGCATTTTTTCACTTTTAAAGAGTTATAGGACTTTTTAATAGATGTTACTTAAAACTGTTAAATGCCAGTTACTTAATATGACAACTGTCTGTATGCCTCTTATTTAGTGCTCCCTTGACCATGGAAATGTTGTAAACATCATATGTTTGTTATGCCCGTCCAAGGCATGGAGATAGAGAAACTGGTCATTGCTGTTGTCTTGAATAGCGCACATCTCTTGTCTTATGTTTATATAGTCTCAGTGTGGAGCATTTGGCTTTAAACTGAGCTGTTAAATACTGTATAAGTAGTTATTCTTTCAGTACCCTTAAAGGGAAATATGAAAACCATAATATCTTTCTGAAGATTCGGTAACTGTCGACTATTTGCAAACAAGAACAGTGTAGCAAGCTTCTTTGAAGAATACCTTCTTTCCAAAAGTAATATTCCTGCATTGCGAAGTGAAATACTTTACAAATGGTGGTTACAGAAAACTGAACAGAACTTGTGTTTATCCAGGTTTGTACAGTTTGTTATTTGTGGAACTCATACTGGACTAAGTTCCTGATTATGCCTGATTGCTCTGGACTGTATGGCTATTCAGTACCTTATGAACTAGAAGCTTAAGACAATATACATGCACACATATATACACACTTCTTTTTTTTCTCTCCAGATTACCCTTTGAATCCTAAATCCAGGTCTCCAAGAATGCTGGTCTTTAAAAAGAGCAGTACAAAAGAACTGCAAATAACCAGATTTCCAGTAGTAGGAAGTCTTAATTCACAGCCAGTAAGGAAAGGAACTGGCACAAGTTTTTATAAAGGATCAGGCCCTAAACCTGTCACTCCACCCACAAAGGTGAGTCATGGATACCAGTGGCATGAACAGCATACTGAAAAAACAATTCTGTAATTGCAAATGTGTTTACTTCTGCGAACGCTGTTCCTAGAGTGTTTTGCAAATGTGAGTGGAAGTAACTTCTTTTAATTTTTCTTTTAAAACTATACAGTAATTGTTTCTTTCTTTGTTTCTGTTTTACCTTTTTTGAGAAGTGCAAAACTGTCCAAATGAGAGTGAAAAGGATGTTTTTTACTTAGAGAATAACACTGCCTTTTGTATATATGATTTTAACAGAAAAATAGGTTTAGTGTACTGGTATAGTCAGCATAAAAATATCTTCAGAATTTATCCCAACTATTGATAGAGGTGATGTTGCAACCTGTTAGTGTCATTCTGGCCCTTTTCCAATTGCAGCTCTCTGTGTTCCTCTCTTGATTCTTGTGTCAGGAATTTAAGTGTGCTCCTGAGAGTATATGATGCAGTAGCTGTTAAAATCTCTAATAATTCTTTTTAAATAACAATACTTTCAGCAGCTGAAGGCTCATATTGGGTACCTAAAATACACGAGTCTTAATTGTTTTGAAACGTGAGTCTTTATCTAAAAAGTGTAAGAAGTATTTTTGAGAGGATGAGTTGCTCATGAACAGTTTCTTTTTCACAAGAAAATAGGTATTTGCATCAAGTTGTGGTTGTAGTTATGATTTGCTTTTACTTCATAACTTTTCTGAAAATTCCTGAAAATAATCCTGGTGTAGTTAATGACTTAAAATTTCTCTTAATTTTTTTTTTTTTTAGCCTACACAGTGGAAACGCGAAGCAAAGGAAAACAACCTTGGGAATCCATTTCCTCATGAATCTGCATATGGTATTGCCAATTTGAGGCATTTCAAATCAGCTGCTAAGGCATTTACGATATCACAAAATTCAGTGGAAGAGGTAAAGCAATGTCTAGGTACTAAATCTGTAAAATGTTTAATTTGGATAGATAAGGGACAGTAAGTTCAGTGGAAAATGGTATTAAAGAAGTTTTTTTGGAAGGTAGTGTCAATACATGTGAAACCTGAAACTGCAGGTGCCAAGGGAGTACTTTGATCTTTCATTCAGCGTTTTCTAGATTAAGAGACTTCTAATGCTCTTTCTTTTTCTGACTCTATTTGTTAGTGTGCTCGGTCAAATTCTTCATCTCCTGTTGACAAAGTTGGTCAGCCTAATGTAACAAAATTGACAAGATTGCGCACTGATAAGAAGAGTGAATTTTTGAAAGCATTGAAACAAGACAGAGTGGAAGAGGAAGATGAAGACAAGTATGCTGGGCAAGATAAGGTAGCTTCCTTTATACCTGTTGTAGATTCAGCAGTAGTACTTTTCAGAGGGCCATAAACTTTTTGTTTTGCTGTAAACAACTGTGAAGTCATGGTCTTGGATCTCTAAATGCTGGAAAGGAGTTAAATTTTGATGAAAAAGTTGTTCAAAGTACTATTCTTCTATTGTTTTCAGTAGTGTTTTTTTTTTTCTTTCTGCAGCGTCTACTCATACATGTTATCAACGTGAGGTACAGGTACAAATGAGGTACATGTGTGTCTTTAGAAAAATAAAAATAATAAATACTAACCTATTCATAGAATCAGAGTATTAGTTAGGTTGGAGGAGACCTTTAAGATCATCAAGTCCAGCCATTAACCTGACACTGCCAAATCCACCACTAAACCATGGCCCTAATCACCACTCTGGAGGTTTTAAATACCTCCAGGGATGATGGCTTAACCAGCTTCCCTGGGCAGCCTGTTCTAGTGCCTGACAACCTTTCCAGTGAAGAAATTTTTCCTAATACCCAGTCTAAACCTGTCCTGGTGCAACTTGAGGCCATTTCTGTTTGTTCTGTTGCATGTTACTTAGGAGAAGGGACCAACCTCAATCTCAGAACAACCTCCTTTCAGGTACTTGTAGGGAGCAATAAGGTCTCCCTCTCAGCTTCCTTTTCTCCAGACTAAACAACCACAGTTCCCTCAACCCCTCCTTATATAACTTGTTCTCCAGACCATTCATGAACTTCGTTGACCTTCTTTGGACAAACTCCAGAACCTCAATGTTCTTGTAGTGAAGGGCCCAGAACTGAGCAGGGTACTCAAGGTGCAGCCTCATCAGTGCAGAGTACAAGAGGACTATCACTTCGCCAGCCCTTCTGGCCTTACCATTTCTGATACAAGCCAGGATGCTCTTGGCCTTCTTGGCCAGATGGGCACACATGGCTCATATTCAGATGTCTCTCAGGCCCACACCCCAGGTACTTTTCCTCTGGGCAACTTTCTAGCCACTCCCAGCCTATAGCATTGCATGGGGTTGTTGTGACCCATGTGCAGGACCCAGCACTTGGGCTTGTTGAACCTCATACAGTTGGCTCTGGCCCATTGATCCAGCCTGTCCAGATCTCTCTGCAGAGCCTTCCTACCCTCAATCAGATCAACAGTCCTGCCCAGCTTGGTGTCATCTGCAGAGCTGCTGAGGATGCGCTCAATTCTCTTGTTCAGATTATTGATAAACTAAAGAGAATGGGCTGCAACACTGAGCCCTGGGGAAAACCACTCCTGACCAACTAGATTTAACTCCATTCACTGCAACTCTTTGGACCCATTCACCCACCCAGTTTTTTACATAGCAAAGAATATGCCTGTCCAAGCTATGAGCAGCCAGTTTCTCCAGGAGACTGCTGTGGGAAATGGTGTTGAAGTACAGGTAGACAGCATCCAAACATCCACAGCCTTTCCTTCATGCACTAAGTGGGTCACTTTGTCATAGAAACTAGTCAAGCAGGACCTGCCTTTCACAAACCAGTGTGGGCTGGCCCTGATCAGCTCATTGTCCTGTCTATGCCATGTGTTAACACTCAAGATGGTCTGTTCCATAACCTTCCCTGGCACTGAAGTCAGACTAACAGATGTGTGGTTCCATGTATCCTTCTTTCAGCTCTTCTTGTAGATGATGGGCATCAGTCAACTGGGACCTCCCTGGTTAGCCAGGACTGCTCATAGATGACGGAAAGTGGCTTGGTGAACACATTGCCGGCTCTGTCAGTAGTACCCTGGATGGGTCCCATCTGAACCCATGGACTTGGAAGGCAGTGTTTCAAACCTTGGCTGTTAGTTAATCTACAAAACAATTAATGAAAAACCTCGTTCTGCATCTCAAACTCTTCCCTTTCTAATAGGAATTAAGTGTTTAGATAGCCAGATGTTCTCTATTCTTGGTCTAATCAGAGGAGGAATTGCCAGTTTATGCATATATAAAGGACTTGTTTTTACTTCCTAGTGTTGAGAACTTGGAGGCCTGCACTGTCTATATATAATGCATCAGGTTTCTTTCCGTCTGGATTGGTTTATGCAGTTCTCAGCTGGCACCAAAAAATATTTGTGTCAGTGCTACCAGCCACGGGCAAGCCATAAGCATAGTTACTGTGGCGATTACAACAAGCCTCTTCTCTATAAACAAGTGCCTTAAAGTGTTAAAAGAAAATAAAATAATAAATTACTAACCAGCTAGTTAAATGACTGGTTCTGAGGAAGGCTTATTCAGATTCAGAGACATGAAAAAAGACACACTGTCAGTGTGCATTGCACATAAAAGTAAAATTGACTTTTCTGACCCTGTTCCAATATCAGGCAAAATAAAATTTGCTGTAATGGGACTATACAACTTTATGTGTGAAGTAAGAAAGGTCTGCATCTTTCCATTAGGCATTCTGTGGCTGAGCGTCCTGAGATGAATGTGGGGGGTAGTACTATTCTTGTGTTCTTAAGAAATGCATAAAGATTCTGATGTACAGTTAAAAAGATATTGGAAAAACACTGTCTTGAGCTTCAGAATTCTGTAAACAGTACATGAACTGTTGGTGGGGGTTTCTATTCCTGAAATTGTTCAGAGTTCGTATTATACATAGGTAAAATGCATTTAGTTGTCTGAGTGTATACAGCTGATTTTCAGAAGCAAGTTTATATAAAATTAAAAAGGTTTTTAGTAGTGGAAGTTGTAATGTCATTAGACAGGTATATGTAACACATACCCTGGAGTAGTTGTTGGTAACTGCATTCTTCCTTTTCCCTGCCATTGCTCTTTCATTAAGAGATGTGAAAAGATACTAGACAAATCATGTACCTAACTAATAGCTGTCTTACTTCCAACATTCATTAGTGATCATCAGTAGAAGACATGGTATTCAACTGAGTGGATGGGGAGATAACTGCGTAACAGTCTTCTATAACAATCCTGTTGATCACCTCTGAAATAATGAGGCAAATCATACTCAGCAGAAATCAAGCCATTTTGCCCTATTTATTAAAATGGTGTAAAATATTAATGAATTCTGTTTGATAATCTGAGATGCATTCTTCAGGCTTATGATTTAACAGCTGAATGTATGTTTTCTGGGATACTTGTTCTTAACAAATTATTGCTGAGTGTTTAAAATGTCTATAAACAGACAGCACTATGAGTGGGAAGAATATGAAAATGATGATGGTCTTGATCCTGGATGCTGAAGCATGGTTTCTTAAACATGCAGAACTGGCTGATTGGTTGCTTTCTGCTATGGATAATGCTCCTATGCCTGGTTTAGGGATTTTGTTGACAAAATGGTGTTGACTAGGTAATGATCATAGTCTCCTCTTTCTTTATACAGTTGTCATGCCTTCTGAGGCTATTTGGCTCATACTGAATATGAATTGCAGGTTGCTGAATGAAAATAATAAAAATAATAATCTCTTGTTTATAGACACTACAGAGATTTTAATATTTGAGTGAAACTGAACAGTCAACTTTCTGAGTTAACTTTCCTCCTAGTTCTTACTTCATGGCTAGTAAGTTACAGTTACTGTTAACCATAGCCTGAGAAATTGTAAGGAGTGCATGCTTGTAGGGCAAGTTTTCTGAATTTAAAGAGCAGTATCCATTCTTTATGAACTTGTGGCAGATTAATTTGCTGGTTGAGCTATTGTGGCTGTGACCTGTCCATTACACTAAATAAACTTTAGAGCTGTTATGCCTTCTCCTGACATATTGCTCTGATGCCTAATTAGGAACACTTTAAGTTTGACAGATAATGTTACTCCTGTAAGTATGAAAGTCAACTTAAATAAGATATGTGTGAAACTTAATAGAAAAAAGTGTGAGGCAGAGCATGGGAGTTGCTTTCTGCATTACTTGATCAGTGGTATAACTTGAAGATTTCTGTCGTATCCAGGTATTGCGAACTCTGGAGGTACAAACAGAATTACCCCTGAAGTAGTAGTGTTTCCATTTAAACTTAACCTGAATTGCGGCACTTGCAGACATGTACTTGTAAATAGAATTTACTTTTAAACATTGTAATATAACATTATTTTTAACAGAATGATGAGTCCTTTAACTTGAATAACAGCAACAGTCCTCATCATGAGCGAGATATAAACCAAAACTTTGAAAGTGAAGTTCTACAGGAGAATGGCAATACTTCAGTTACATCTCAACAGATCATTCCATCTTCAGCCTTCCCTCAGGCAGATGTTCTTTCAAGCTCACTTGAGGCAGAGCTTAGGTATGTATTTTTTATAATATGAAGAGTGTTCCTTCTTGGTGAGTGAGCATATAATGAATTCTTACTAATTCAGAACACATAACATTTTTAATGTATACTGTCACAGGTTTAACTTCTAGACATGTACTAATTTTACATGGAATATACTTTGTTTCTACTAGACTTGTGTACTGACTTAAACTTGCTTTGCTAAAAATATGATGTATTTCATTATAAAGAAATAAAACAAACTGCGTAGTTACTTCATTCCTCTAGCTTTGTTCTGCACATCTAGGAGGAACAATGCATATGGTTACTATTTGTATTAATAGTACTTTAAATGCTGCATCTTATGTAAAACTCCAGTGAGCTTTTCCTCATTGTTAAAGTAGTTAATTACTTCTGTAGCTGACTAGATGACGCTGTCAGTGATACCACAAGAAAATGTACTGGAAAGGGAGAAAGCAACTTCAAAAAAAGGATTGAAACAACTCTAGTATCTCATAAAAGTAACTGCAGTAGCAACTAGTAGAGATGAGAATGATGCTGTTAGGCTCATCTCTGTTTCTGGTAAGGTGTTGGAACAAATCATTCTGGAAATAATGTCAAAACCTGTGGAAGCAAAGAAGGTCATTGGGAGACGTCAGCATGACCAGGGAGAATCATTCTTTACCTGTCTGATTGCCTTCTATGACATTGTAACTGGCTGGTTTGATGAGGGGGGTTACCTACCCTGACTTCAGCAAGATTTTGACACTCTCTCCCATAACATTCTCATTAGGATAGAGTGCATCCTCAGCAAGGTCACTGGTATTACAAAACTTGGGAGGGGTGGCTGACACTCCAGAGGCCTGTTCTGCCATTTAGCATGACCTGGACTTTTTGCTCTTGTCACCAAGAAGGCCAATGGAATTCTGGGGTGCATAAAGAAGTGTGTGGCTGGTAGATTGTGAGAGGTCATTCTCCCCTCTACTCTGCCCTGGTGAGTCCACATCTGGAATACTGCATCCAGTTCTGTACTCTCCAGTTCAAGAGAGGCAGGGGACTACAAGAGAGAGTTCTAGGCTAGGGCAACACAGATGGTTGGAAGGTTGAAGCATGTCTTTTAAAAGGAAAGGCTGAGAGAGCTGGGACTCTTTAGCCTGAAGAAGAGACTGAGTGAAGACCATATTAATGCCTCTTAAGTATCTCAAGAGTGAGTGCAAGGAGGATGGAGCCAGACTTTTCAGTAGTTCCCAGTGACAGGCCACAGGCACAAGCTCGAACACTGGAGGTTCCTTTTAAATATGAGGAGAAGCTTCTTTTTGGTGAGTGTGACAGAGCATTGGAACAGGCTGCCCAGGGAGGTGGTGGAGTCTCTATCTCTAGAGATATTCAAGACCCACCTGGATGCTGTTCTGAGTAATGTGCACTAAGCGATCTTGCTTTAGCAGGGGAATTGGACTAGATGTCTAGAGGTCCCTTCCAACTCTGACAACTCTGTTCTGTCATGATCTTGTCTTGAGCTCTGTTACATTTTTATTGTTTCTGGCAACTACAGAATTGCCATGAAAGATTAGAGTTTTCTTGGTTTTTTTTTAGTGATAGGTTATATGCCTATTTTCAACTGAGGAACTTTACTTTTTATAATACCTGCAGAGGAACCTTTTATGACCTGTCCCTCATGAGTATGAAAAATGAAACACACTGCTCTGTTCCTTTTTTGACACCATTGGCTATGTGAACAGAAATCTTTGGCCACTAGAGGCTGCCAATGAGGTTTTTTTGACTAGATGATAGCCAAATCTATCTCTCATCTTTCCATTCAGATGACTTGGAATGACCTTGATAGTGTTCTGGCAAGTGTCTTTTCTTTGTGGTATCCGAGAGGCCATGTCTCCATAGTGTCCCAGCTCTTTGGCTGTGACCTCTGCACATGTGGAGACAGATGTTATGTATGATAAGCCTTTTTCTGGTAAATCATACTTGGAAGTGGCCAGCTTAACTCACAGGATACTTGTTCATACCTAGTAATAGTATTGGCAGTCTTGGGCTTCCCTTTTGCTGAGGAAGATTCCAACATGAAGCCATCCTGTTGGTGTCAAGTTTGCTAATCTGAAGGTTGATTTTTTTAATGTAGTTCACTCTTAGCCATTCTAGAAGCCTAGTGTTTAAAGGGGCAGTTGTCCTGCTAACTAGAGACAGTTTTGCTTAGAAGTTAATTAGCCGTAGCCATTGACCGAAACTGTATTTACATCTTGCCTGCAGTAAAACTTTATAACTCAAATTAGTGTTGCCAAAAATGTAACTGCTATTGAACTGCATTTGGCATTTTGAGTCTTTTTCTGTACATCTGTACAAACACACATGTTCTCTTAAAATGACATCAGCTGTCTCTATGTTTTGTGAAATATCTTTAACCTTAACATTTAAGGTCAACAGGTGTGTGGTGTGCTTGGGAAAGGTGTTAATCCTTTTGGCAAAAACCTTGCAGTGAGAGAAATACTGCTTTCGTTGTTAGTTGTTGCAGTGTCTTCACCCTCAGATGACCCCTGTTTACACAGCATCTTTACATGTAAAACCTCTTTCTTCCTGCTCAGATACTGAACTCCCACTTTTGACGGTAGCTAAAACACATTGATGGTTGCATCACTGGATATCTGAAGCTCAGTCACGAGGAATTTGTCGTTTCTTTTCCTCCCCTCATCCCAAAACTCACTCCTAGTTGTAGCCTATCTGTGCTGAAATATCAGCATGTGCTAATGGGTGAGACTTAATTGTAAAGAAACCTCTAGCCTCTCCTAGTTCTGACCTGTAGCATGTGCTAGAAAAAGGGAACTATATGAGGCTGTCACATCCTGAACTAATTCCCGTGGAAAGACACTGCAGTATTTTTCACTGCTGGCCTGTTGTCCAGGAATACTGGTTATTCCCTCAGTGTGAGTCTTCATCTCTTTCTATGGGGTGTACCTCTGCTCCACCAGAGCAGTTATGCAAAGGAAATACGTTCTTACTTTTCCACCTGACACAGATTTCTTGCCTTAAAATGAAGGTACATTTTTTACCACATGTATTGGTAAAACAGAATCATCTGTGAACTTCTTATTTTCTATGTTTTATATATCTAAGGCTTTGAACTTATTTTTGTGTGTTTTGTTTTTTTTAAATAACAATAAACTGATTAATCCATTTGTTACGGATCTTCACACATATATGTAGGCAGAGCTTGAAATGTCTATGTGTCACAAATTCCTTAATGTCCTCCTTTTTAATTTTAAGGTTGCTAAAGGAAATGGGCTGGCAGGAATATAGTGAAAATGATGAAGCATGTGCTCCACTAACAGAGGATGAGATGAGAGAGTTCAGAGTCATTAGAGAACAGGTAACACCAAGTTGATGTTTTGTTACAAACTTGTAGTTGGCTGCCCTAAATGCCTACCTTTATGAGGATCTACAGTAATTTTGATGGTTTGGGATGCTGCTGTTTCAGTACCATTTCAGTATTACTTTTTTGGAAGAATAGTGGCTTTAAAAAGATGAGGATCAGTGCTTATTGTAGGTAAAGGCCTATTCTCAAAGTAGCAAGGAAAGGGTAGGAGAATGTTTCTGAGTATTTTCAGCATTGCATGCAGTAGAATTGCACAGACTTTCCAGCTCCTTGGTTTAGCCTGAGGAAAGCAAGATTTCTTTCAAGGCTTTTATGCAGTTTCCTTGGTTCCCAAAATCTGACTTTTCTCATTGGAAATTGAGAGACATTTAATTCACTAGTAACAAAGTCTGCAAAGGCAATCTAGAATTGATTTTGTTAAATTTTATTTTAAATTAGGAGTGTTATTCAAACCTGATGGAGTCAGTGAGGAAGAGCTGGAAAGGAAAACCTTGTGTGGTGTTAAATATAAGCATTTTTTATTTTTGTAAGTCTAGCCGTACCTGTATTAATTAGAGCATTTGGAATATTAAACCCTTACATGCGTGTCTCATTGACAAGCTTCTGCAATGTGTGTGAAAATGCAATAATTCCTTTCTTGCTAAAGAATCAGTTGTTCCCTTTCTCTAAAGTGTGTTTAACTTCGCAGCTGCATCAGGTAAGCATACTGGGATACTCATTTCTCACTGCTGCTTCTCCTCTTCTGGGCCTCTTCTGTATTGCAGACCCTGCTCTTCTTAGCACATTTTTTTGCAGCACTGTGGAAAAGGGGACTGGATCACAGGAGAGGCCATGTGGGAGGAGAGATCACTAGGGCAAGACATCTGAGGAAGTGGGTGAGAAGAGGGTAAGCTCTCCTTGACTGCAGGAGCTTAGCACAATTGGAGGAGCTTGGATACAGGTTGGCTAGCCTTAAAATGCAGGCTTTTGGAAGAGTTTTTCTTTGTGTGTATGTATGACAAGGTAGTACTGTGGATCTAGTGTAGACCAGAGAGGAAAATGTAGAGAGTATTGAAATGTGACAAGATTGTTGTGTTTACGTTTTTCTTTACCTAAATACATATTGTTTTCTCATTGCAGTTACAAAAAAATGGCCTTCGGAAAACTAGCATTTTGAAAAATGGCCTCATTTGTGGTTTTAAATTTAGCCCCTGGAAAAACAGCACTTTCAGACCTGCTCTGGAGAAGGAGGATTCTGAGACGAGCAGCAGTGATACATCAGATGATGATGATGTGTGAAGACTTCTGAAACATCTATTGGAGACTATTTTGATCTTTTTTGACTATTTTGCCTATTTTGAAATTGGGGATGTGTTGTTAAAAATATATTTTGAATTTATGTAGTAATGTACCCACTAGAAGAAGAATCACGTGATTTTTAACTGAAGAAAGCAAGGGATGTTGTGTTGGACATCACTGTAATTTCTTTGTAAGTGAATTTTGTAGAATGAGGGCTTGAATTGACACAGTGTTGACTTTCTTCATCACTGAAGCGTTTCTGACTAGCAACATGACAATGTAATAAATCAGATTTTCTCATTTACTAATAAAAACAAAGAATTGTGTAATATCTTGCAAAGCTTCTATCTTAAAATGCCCAACTCTGTAAGGAAAAAAGGGCATCTTGACACAGCATTTTGTCTTCATCTAGGTTGTATCTGGGGCTAGCCTGGAGCAATTTGCTGTCTCACCTGATGGCCCCTTCCCAGGCAAGGAGGAGAATTGAGAAGGAGAGAAGCCCCATGGGCTGAAAAACATATTTAATGAAATAAATCTGATACAAACACCCAGTATAAAAGCTTATGCTCAGCCTGGGCCTCCCTCAGCCCATCTCCCCCTTTGTAACCAGCATGAGGTGAGTGGTGTGGGACCCTCCTGTGAGGGGTCAGGGAGACAGCTGCCCTGGCTGGAGTTATTGACTGACTTGGGGTGAATTAATGAATGTCCTGCCCATCACAGCTGGCCTGTGGGGCTGTCCCACTGAAACCAGGACATATGCAAAAGGCAATGTAGTATGTTGGCTAAAATGGGCAAAGTGCACTAAAATGCTTTACTGTAATTGAGCTGTTGTGTTGTTACACTACTTGCACATATAGCTGCTCTTTAGCCATTCGTAGCGCAGTCCTTGCTATTAGCAGACCTTGATGTTAGTTACAGAACCAAATTTCTAGAACTGATGTTTAAATTGGAAGCTTTATTGGGGTATTGCAAGACCTGGTACTCTCACAGTGTGGGAAAATAAGCACTTTGGTTTTACTATTCACATGCAGAAAACAAGTTAGCCTGACTGGATTTGTCCAAATCAGGGAAAAAAACCCAGCCCTGAATAAGAGAGTATCATTACACTGCATAGCATTGAAGGGTATTGTTTAAAATGTGAGTTTTGTTTGCATTTATATTAATGTACTCTGGCAGCAGTGACTGCATTTTGGAATGAGGTAAAAGTATTTTCATCACTAGATTATAGCAGCAGAATATCTATGCAATCAGCACCTGTTTTGCTTACTTCGTGTCAACCTTTTTTGTTTTTGATCACACTTAAAAAACAATATTGTATTACAGTTTTATTTATTTTAGTTCTTTCAATATTTTCCAGAGGGTTTTACAAACTATGGGGCATTAATTCATAAGCACAAGTACTCTTGGTGTTGTCCCGTACATTTATAACATAGTTTATGTATGTATTTAGGTACTCCCCCTTCAATATATTTTTGGGTTTTACTTTCTTACAGTAACTAATTTGCCATTTAGAACTCTAAAGCAAAAAATATTTATAAACCTGGGATTTTGACCATATTTAACTTCTTAAGGAAAATACATTTTTAATAAGGTGGCATCTGTTGATTTTGGGCCAAAGATGATTGATTTTTAATTTTTTTTATTTTTTTTTTTCCAGTTAGTTTAAACAGAGACTTTAAGAGATCACTTTTTGCCTTGGAACAAGCATGCAAATGTTGACATAGTTAATTTTGTTGTAATTAATTGAAAAAAGCCGTTTTCTTGTCTAAATTTAGGAGGCTAGAAATGTTTCTTTTTATTAAAGAAAAAGCTGTCAGTAATGCAGTCTTTCCTGACTGTATACCTTTCACACCTTTCTCCTTCCTCTTTCCTCCTTTGGTTTTCTTTAGTAACTTTTAAGACCTTGGTGTGGTCTACTCCCTTTTTGATTTCCACATCCTATCAACAGAATCTTCTGCCTGTCATAATTAGTGGTATGTGAATACTAAATTTCTATTACTAAGTGAAATTTTTTTGCCTTGGTATTTCTTCAAGTGGGATATAGACTTTTTTTTCCTCTGGTTTATTCAGTGTAGTAACAAGTGTTGCCTCTGTAATTAACCTTTTGGGAAGATACTACACTTACAGAAGAACTGTGCTATGCTATCTGTATAGATGTGGGAAACATTGAGGTTGTAATTCTTGTTAAGAGAAAGTAGAATTACCAGGAATACTTGGTACTTATGTTTTGCTAGTTTATGTCTTGAAACTGGTAGCAGAAGCACCATTACAACGAGCTGTTATTGTAGAAGGTAGCAGGAATTTAGCAGCAGTTTTACTTTGTGGAATGAAATACTTTTATAGCCTTTGTAACTTCGTAAGTGTGTGGCTTCTCTTGTGTCTGCTTTGTTGTCTGTCCTGGCTCTCTTCATGTGACAGAATTACTCTGTATTCCTACTACACTGTATTTGCCTTTCTGAAGCCTGGTATGTTTGATACTGTGATTTCATGTTGTGCAGGCTCATAGCCTTAGCCAGCTGATGCCTGTGGATTCAGTTCTAGTCCTATACAGTGATCTGTTCTACTAGTTCAGAGACATGTCATTCTGTGTAGCTGTAGGTTAGATGGTTATCTGCTGCTGTTAGTTCAGTTTTGTCCTTCACAGCAGTATGGAAGTGGAGAAGCTTTGATATTCATTTGCTTTACTCTTTTGTTGTAAATAAACCAGTCCCGCTCTTGTTTTTGCGCTTGAGCAAATTAAACGCCCATAAGGAAGTCTGTGTTACAGGCTTAAGAAGGTGGTGGACTAAGCTTACCCATTTCCTTGGTAGGTTACAACAAGCTTTGGATATTAAAGATTGTCTGCTGAAGATTGTCTGTGCTGGGGTGAAAGAGCCTGATGCCAATGACAGTAATGCAGACATGGCACTGCTGTATGATTTGCAGTCAGTGCCATTTCTCCTCTTAATCCTGCATTTATTGGCAAGAACCATATCTACTGGGTTCCGTTTTCCATCCTTCTTCAAAAGCCAAGATGAGTGATGAGTCACTAACTGATTTTCAGATTTGCCACGAGTGAGGGATGAGCCCTCTGTGTGTGCTGCTGGTATGGAGGGTACCTGTGTTCATGGTAGGGAGCTGAGAATTCTTTACCTCATGTAGAGTGACCAGAAGCCTTCCTCACTGTCTTCTACAGGGCCTTTTTCTCTCTTAACTGCTAAGAGAAGCTAGTTGGCTCTCCTGAAAAGAGTGTTAATTACAGTAAAGTTGTCCTTTGATACATATTGGACCCAGTCAAGATTCTGAAGTAGATTTTTGCTGCTTGTCATCTTTGAGAAGTGTTACAAAGAGTGAAGGAAATAGATGTTTGTTGTCCATGGCAACTGCCTGGAGGGGAGGCAGAAATCGGCTTTAGTTATGATAGGGACCTCAACTATTACGCTTCTTCTTAGATAGATACATTCAGTAGATACATTTAAACTGTTGGCTACCAGAAACTGGAAGGAGAGTTTAGTCAAGGATGTCTTTGTTTTTCCCTGTTTTGTGTTTGCTGCTAGGCAGTGGCTGAAGCTGCAGGAAACTTTTGGTCTGATTAAGGATTATTGCTGTTACACACCAAGAATTACTGGTTCATTAAGATGATAAACATGCTGGCTAGCTGGTCAGCTTTCTTCATATTGTTATTCATAGGCATGTTATTAATTTGTTTCGTTCCCTGGATTTCTCTCCAGCCTTCACTGGAGGTAGCTGGCAATGCATTTACTAACCCAGCACTGGCAGCCGTTTGCAAGGCAGTCTGGCACTGTGTGAGTTATGGGTGTCCAATAGAAACTCTCTTCTGTCTCTACAGGTTTATACTTGCTCAGAGGTTTTTAAGTGATTTCTGGAGTCTGTGCCTTAGTATGTTGCCATCTGGGAAAGAACTTTAGACAGACTAAAGAGAAATTCTTATCTTCAATAAGTTAGTCAGCGGAGTGTACTGCTCTGCTACTGAATGCAGTGCCTACCAAAGCCTGCTTCCATTGCAGTCTCTTACGCAGATCTGATAATCTGATGGAGATGTGAGATCATGCTGGGTCTGTAGTGGCATGCACTTCTTAAATCCCTATAAAGATACCTGAGAGTATGTTGCTATCTAGGCTTCATTCTGCATTCGTCTTCCTTGGACACATTCTTGGTATGCAGACATTTATTCCCCTGGTAATAGAATGATTGTTACAAATCATGTTCCACACTTGATGGCAAATGCTCGTTTACTTTCCTATCCTATCCAGGTCAAAGATACATCTTGGAGTGGGAGGGAGTATTTTTGGCAATTGGCATGACTGGGGATGTCCAGAGAAGCATCAGCAAATGAGGCTGAGAGAGCTTGGGTCAGTGTGAGAGAACCCAAGTTCCCCTTAGGAAGTGTGGGGAGCTAAATGGTTTTGGTGGTGCTGAACAAGGTGTTGGGAAACTAAGGAGAGCAAACTCCTTCCTCTCCACCAGAAAGCAGTCTGACTTGAGACCTGATGCAAGCAATTCCAAATACTTGAAAGATGAGCTTGAAGCAGCCTTGTGGCCTGAGCTATTGGTTTTGCTGGATTACTGGACTGGCTATGTGTTGTCATAGAGTCATAGAATGTGTTGGGTTGGAAGTTACAGTCTTCTAAGCATATAGATCCTGAAACAGGCTTCTTTGCATCTGATACCAACAGCTCCTGGCCTTCACTGAAGCCAGACAGTGTTCTCTGTTGCCTTAGTGTTCTCACAGTTGGGGTGGCAGAAAGGGATGAAGCTTTTCCTCCTATCAGTCATACAGCCAATAGCACGACATGATGTACATCTCTGATCCTGCTCATTCTAGTATGGTGACTTTGGTACTGTGGCTTCCTCTCAGTTCTTACTCTTTGTTCTATGTGATAGCTTGATGTCTAGAAGCTCTGTGCTATTCTCTCTTTGCATCTTCCATCTCTGATCGATTCCTGTTGCAAGACTGGTGGAGGGGAACTATCCTTAGCAAGTTAGTGAGCATCCTGTCTGAGCTTGAGTGATTGCACCATGAGCAGATGAAAAA